CAATATAGAGAGAGTTGAAAAATGTGGATTTATTAATTTTGTTGTCTATTTTTTTAAAAAAAGTTACTTTCGTGGGGCAAATTTGTTAATATTACTACAAGACAAATGGTATTTTTGTTATCTCCATAAGGGGCAAAATTGAAATTTTAACTAAAGGACAATGACACTCTACAAATAAAATTTGAGGGCACTAACTTCCAAAATGCCATTCTACTTTTGTAAAAATTTCAAATTTGCCCTTGTTTAATGGTAGTTACTTATTTAAATAATTTTTAATGAAAATAATCATTGTTTTGATATATACACCCTTCACATCCCTTTCTAACTTGATCCTTTGTATTTTAAGAGGTTATTAACTCTAGGCAAACCCTATATATATATATATATATATATGAAAATTTTTTCTCAATGCCTACCGGTGAAAATGAAAAGTGATTTTGCCTACCCTCATCACCGTCCAAAGTTCATCGCACGATCACTATTGTCCGAGTAGTGTTTTACTTTTCAGTTTTTTTCTACAAATTGGAATGATATGAAATTTGGAGTGTGAGTACATCTTAGTGAGTCGCACCTAACAAAAATATAAAAACAATAATTGGTGAAAAAATAATTGACCAAAATACCTCTGAAAGTTTTCAGGGGTATTTTGGTCAATTTATTTTATGTAAAATATTTTTTTGATATTTTTCATAGATTCTCCTATTTTTAATGAACGCATTCTCCAAATTTAAATTTTAGATCATTCCAATTTGTAGAAAATTTTTTTAAAAATAAACACTACCGGACAATAGTAACCGTGCGATGAACTTTGGACGGTGATGATGGTAGGCGAAATCACTGTTCATTTTCGCCAACAGGCATTTTGTAGTATCTATTTATATATATATATATATATATATATGCTAAGATCTCCAAATTTTAAAATATATACTCTTTTCATTTTAATGAACAATCACAAAATAAAATAAAATGAAAACATTACTTGGGAAATATTTTTAATATTCTTTTAGCCCAACATTTGATTTTGGTGAGATGCTTAAATCTAGGTATTTGAATAACTTTTTTTCTTTCCAAAATTTTTATATAACTTTATTATCATTAGATTAACAATATTAAAAAAAAAAAAATTTGAACTCATAAAGGCGTAGATCTTAAAATTCCTCAATGGACGGTCTAGATTCATTGTTGGAGGGGACTCATTTTGACCATATATGGGGTGCAAATTAGTATTTTTTTTAGATTATTCATTTAAATTGTATATGAGGCAGTATAAAATTTACCAACAAATAACACCAATAAAATTAATCGCGTTTTAGATACAGAACTATAAATGAGAAAAAAATTACAAAAAGAGAAAACAAAATGAGCGGATCCGGTAGTCCGGCACGGCCCTCAAACAAAGAAGAAGAAAAAATAAAACACCAAGGGGTCTCTTTCTCTGTCTCTACGCT